AAGGAAGGAAGGAAGGAAGGAAGGAAGGAAGGAAGGAAGGAAGGAAGGAAGAAAAAGAAAGAAAGAAAGAGGGAGGGCTGGAGAGATGGCTCAGTGGTTAAGAGCACTGCCTGCTCTTCCAGAGGTCCTGAGTTCAATTCCCAGGAACCACAGAGTGGCTCGCAACCATTTATAATGTTATCTGATGCCCTCTTCTGGCATGCAGTTGTACATACAGTTAGAGCATTCATATACAGAAAATAAATAAATCTTTAAAAAAAAAGAGAGAGAAAGAAAGGAAAAGAGAGAGAAAGAAAGAAAAGAAAGGAAGAGAGAGAAAGAAAGAAAAGAAAGGAAGAGAGAGAAAGAAGAAAGAAGGAAGGAAGGAAGGAAGGAAGGAAGGAAGGAAGGAAGGAAGGAAGAAAGGAAGGAAGGAAAAAAGAAAACAAAGTTAAGGCCTATAGCCTGGATTAAATATAGAGTAAGCTCAAGGGTAGCCTGGGCAACTTAAATCCTGTCTCAAAATAAAAACCTAGAGAGGCTAACCTGGCCTACATAGTGAGTTTCAGACAAGCCAAAGATACAAAGTAAGACCCTGCCTAAAAAAAATAATGGGTGAAAAGTTGGGGATATAGCTCATTTGGTAGAATGCCTATCCCCAAACATGATAACACACACCATAACTCACACTCAGGAAGTCGAGGCAGGAGGATGAAAAGTTGAAGGTCATCCTCAGCTACCTAGCAAATTCCAGGTCACCATGGGCTCATGAGACCCTGTCCCAAAAACTGTGGAAGGTGAAAAAGGAATGTAGTTCAGTGGTGACACTTCCCTGGCAGATGTGCGTGCGACCCTGAGTTCAAATCCCTTACGGAACAGGAGAGAGGGACAGCAGCCAGTTCCTGATGCTGTTACCTCATGGCAAGCATCCAGGACTTCTGCCTCTTTCCAGTTGTCAAGGGAAACTGCAAATGCTGACCTCTAAGTGAATTTTCATATTTTAACTGGAGGTAAGGCACCTCCAGTTTAGGCAAGCAAAACTAAACATAAGGAGAGGGGACCTCTACTTCCACATAAAGCCTGAAGATAGTAACTGGGACATCAGTGACATCTGACCAAAACAAATATGACAATGACAGCTGGCACTCAGAAATAGTTTACTGTGGGTGGGGCTCTAATAGATTAGCCTATTCATCAGTGCCCACATGGCTGCTGTCACTCAAATGCCAGAGACACTCAAATGCCAGGTCTCCCGGGGCAGCTGCCGAGCTGGGGTTGAGACTTGTTTCCAGCTCAGGGCTTTCTAGAAAAATCAGAGACACCACTGAGGAGGGAGAAAAGGCTGGCGGAGCAGAGGGGCCCCCTCTTAAAAAGAGATGATGCTGTCATTTTCGTGACTGGTAAACAGCCTTGGCCACCCGCTCTGTCTCTCCTAAGAGACACAGGGTGGCAACAAGCAGAGCCGCATACAATTATAATCCTAGCACTAGTGAAGGCTAAGGCAGGAGGAGCAGAAGTTCTAGGCCAACACAGACAACAGAACAAGTTTGAGGCCAACTTAGACTACACAAAGCCACAAAGCAAAACAAAACCCCTCTGGTCTTGCAGAATGGCTCAGTGGGTAGGGCACATGCTGCCAAGCCTGGTGACCCAAGTTTGCTCTCCAGGACCCACATGTTAGAAGGAGAAGACACTCCCTCAAGGTGTGCTCTGTCTTCCAGGTGTGCACAAGCCCACACACATTACAAATGAATAAAACCATAAAACACACAAACCAACTCAGAGAGGCAGGCGAGGAGCAGAAAGGAGAAGGCTAGAACCACCCATCGTGGGAGGCCCTTAGAAACACATCATTACAGCCATAAACTAATTCTAAGAACCTGGAGTCATGAATGTGTGTGCCTCTGTGAGCCCCAAAGGTCACTTCTAGTGACTCTCAGTCCTTAGCAGTCCTGGGAGTACGGTACCACCACCCTTACCCTTGTCAGAGCAGGGCTGGGAGTGGCAGGCTGGGTGTGGTGATGTTCCCTGTCATCAGGGCATGTGGGAGGCTAAGGCAGGAAGAGCCATGCCAGGCGACATGAGGCTATGTCTCAAAAAATATGCCTATCTCCCAAAGACAAAACAAGGACTGGGGATGTGCTCAGCACAGTGACTGAGAGAGCCTGGTTTTGACTCCCAGCCCTGGAAAAAAAAAAAAAAAAGGAAACTGAGGCCCAAGAAGGTAAGCCCAGGGTCTTGGAACGGAGGCTAGCCTTCATTCCCAGAGCACTCGCTTGAATGCATGTTCCCACGTCCTTCCCTCCTGCATCCCCTTTGCTAAGCCCCACACTGGAGCCCACATACACCTGGCACCCAAGGCTCGAACCTCATGGGTCTTGAAGAAGGGAGAGTTCTCCAGAGCCTCTCGAAGGTCCTCCAGTCGCGCCACATATTTTCTCTGGGTATGAGAGGAAGGGTATCTCGTTAGCACAGAACACAGCAGGCCCTTTTGAGCCCCCGTGACATCATACCTCAGCCTGTCACCCTGGACAGTCAAGAGGGGGTAAAGGGAACCAAGGAAACGACAGGAGGAGCAGTGCTCGGGTGGAGCCGATAAGGTAGTACACGTTACAGGAATCCCCACCTATCCCCACAGCTCCCAGAGAGGCCGCGGCAGGTTCCCCTACCCAAGCTGGGTTTCTCATCACAGGACCCATTCTGCCCAAAAGAGCGTGGCCATGCTGTGCCTAGGGACCAGGGGACCTCGTACTTGTACTTGCTAGCTCAGCTTCCTATTCCCACGGCGGGAGCAGCACCCAGGCCCTGAACAAGGCTGTGAGCCAAGGCACACACAAAAGCCAGGCTACTTGGGACCGGGCAGTCCTAACCAAGCCACCAGCTGACAGCAGCCTGTGGGCAAAGCTAGCCAGAATCAGCCCAGGGCATTGCAGCCCAGAGCCAAGGAGCAGGGGTCAGAAGCAACCCTAAATGGTTTTAGTGGCTGCCTTTTAGCATACGGTGCCCCACTTACCAGGATTCCAAGGTCCCCATCCACAAAGTCTTCCAACACCTTTGTCACCTGCTCCAGTGCCTGTGTCTTCTTGAAGTTGGTGCTGCATGTCCCATCAGCCTTCTGCAAAGCCAGATGTGAAGTGCTTGTCATGTGTGCTGTTTTACCCCCAAACCCTGGGCCACCTCAGGTGCCTCCTAGGGTACCCACCAACCAAGATGACCCCTATTCAGGGGAAACAGTCCACCTGCTTGGCCCAACTCGACGAAGCCCTCTGTTACACTTTTACATAACCTGTCCTTCTATGTCTAAGGAAATAGTTGTGGCTGAGCATCCAATAAAACAGGTGATTAGGGCACCAGGATCTGGCTTCCGGCATGGTTCCTCTGCTGTCTAGCAGAGTGGGACAAAGCAAGTCCATTTCCTCTTGAGACAGGGTCTCATGTGTCTGAGGCTCACCAAAGTCTCACCATATAGCTAAAGCTGCCCTTAAACTCCTGATCCTCCTGCCTCCATTTCCCAAACACACTTCAAGTTAAACAAGTTCTATTACCTGCCTCAGCCTCAGATGCTTCAGCTGGAAAATGGGAACCATACAGGTATCTACTTCCTAGAGCTGCTGTGAAGACTGAAGACGACCTGAGACTGGGCATGTAGCTCTTTGTGCTTAAGATGAAGTCATACTCCTGATCCCCCACTTCAGCCTCCCAAGTCCTGGACTACAGACATGAGCCACCACAGCTGGCCATTCTGACTTACTATTTGATTGATTATTCAAAGAGATGTGGGGCAGGAATACTGTGCCAGGGTCTCCCTCATATGTGCCGGACAAGTGCTCTATTGCTACGCTACAGCGCCAGTCTGGAGTTTTTATTTGTTTGTTTAGTGCTGCTGAGAATTGAACCTAAAGACTCACACACTCAGCAAGCCCTCTAACACTGAGCTAGATCCCCTAGGAATTTGTTGTTGTTGTTGTTTTCCCTGAGACAAGGTATCGCCAAATGCCCAAGCTGGTCCTGAACTCACTGTGTAACTCAGACCGACTCTGCAGTACTCCTCATGGGGAGGACAGCTTTTCCAAGTATATTTAATGTATTAAATAAATAAAGATCCTTCCTGCTACTGCATTCCATGATGAAGTGAGGAGCACCAGGTTTGGGAGGCCAGGGAAGCTGGGACAGAGAAAAGGCTAGACTCAGGGAAGAGAAGATGGTACATGAAGATGTTACACTAGACAGATAAACAAACCTTGCCTCTACTAGGCACGGGGATGAGAGCTGGGCCTTCCGCAGCCCAGGCTACCTGGACTCCGCAGACATGGGTCTGTCTCCTTCTAGTGTCCCCTGCGTCAAAACCACCTTGCTGGTTCCCAGCTTACCTTGATGCCTTCAATCCGAAAGCCCAGGGTGGAAGTGGAGCTCAGGGTCTCCCTCCACTGCATGTACCGAGGCTTGGTAACGGCACCCTGAGCATGCTCCTCTGTGGTGGGGGCCCCAGGGTCCACGGCCACCATCTTCTCGTACATATCTTTCCGGGGCTTGGGTCGTTCTCGTGCCTTCACCAGCTCCTCCTCCAGGTAGGTCCTGAGCACACAGGATAAAACAAAGAAAATCATCAACCGTAGAGCTGGAGGGCTCACACTGCCTTATATCAAAACATAGGCTGCCGGGCACAGGCGTTTGATCCCAGCACTTGGAGGACAGAGGCTGGTGGATGTCAGCCAAAGTTATATAGTGAGACTCTGTCTCAAAACAACAAAACAAACAAAAACCCAGCAAACTACAAAAGTTAAAACAATAAAACTTATAGACAAAAACACGAGAATACTTTCATGATATAATAGTAGGCAAAGATTTTTTTTAAACATGAGGCCATTGACAGCAATAATAACAAAACAATGTTTGACAAAACAGAAAGTACTTCAGCTCATTGGTGCTTGGCCACTTCTTATCTAAATACTTGGGACCAAGACCTGGAGAGATGGCTTAGTTGTTTAGTGTGCTGCCTGCTCTTTCAGAGGACCTGAGTTCCAATCCTAGTATCAAAAAGTGGCTCACAAGTATCTATCTGTAATTCCAGTCCCAAGGATTCTAATACCCTCTTCTGGCTTCCTCAAGCAGCAGGCATACCAAAATAAGTGCAGGTACAACATTTGCAGACATAATTAAAAAAAAAAAAACAAAAAACTCAACACACACATGGCAGTTTACAGCTGTCTGTAATTCCAGTTCCAGAGGATCTGATGCCCTCTTCCATACTCCTTGGGCACACACATGGTACAGAAGTATACATCAAGCAAAACACAACTACACATAAAATTAAAAAATAAATAAATGAGAAAAATTAAAATAAATAAAACTAGGAACCAAAAGGGCTTCTAATTTTTGAAATTTTCAGATTTTATAATTATTGCATGAAGCTTCCAATTTCACAGCAAATTTTGAATTTCAGATTTTGAAAAACAAATGTTTATTTTATTTATTGGCAGAAGAAACATGCTTATAGGGAGGTAAGAGGACAATTTGCAGGAATTGATTGTTTTTCCACCACCATGGGCCATGGGTGTGGAACCCAAGGTGTCAGGTTGGACAGTGTGAGCTTTTACCCAATGAGCCATCTCATGAACCCCAGATTTTTTTTTACTTTATTTAACTTTGAGACAGGGTCTCACTCTGCAGCCCTCCTGGTCTAAAACTCACTTTACAGAGCAGGCTGGCCCCAAATTCATAGAGATCCAACTGCCTCTGCTTCCTGAGAGCTAGGATTAAAGACAAGATTTATTTAATTTAATTTTACCTATTTTAATTCGTTATTCATATGTGTGAGTCTGTGTAAATATATGGCCACCATGCCCATAAAGGAAGCCTCAGAGGCCAGCAGCAAGCATTAGATTCCCCCGGGGCTGGAGTTTTACCACATGGGTGCTGGGAACCCAACCCAGGCCCTCTGGAAGAGCAGCACATGCTGGGAACCAGGGAACCATCTCTCCAGCTGCAGTGATTTTCAAAGAGGAAACAATGTTGATTCATCAAGAGAAAGTAAGGAAGAGCCCTGACTGGGAGAGGTTCCAAGGAAAAAATATCAGAACTGCAGATTTTTTAAAGTTAGAGTTGTTTAATGGTATAAAGAAAGTGAAATGGCAAATTCGAGGCCATGGGTTTGGTCTTCCGGTCCAGAGACAGACAGACAGAGAGACAGAGACAGAGAGATGTAGAAATGGGAAAGTTAGAAGATATATATATATATATATATATATATATATATATATCTCACACTCTGGGTGTGTGTGTGTGTGTGTGTGTGTGTGTGTGTGTGTGTGTGTAAAGCAAAGAATTTATATCCTGCATATGTAAACAATTAAAAAAACAGACAGAGAATGAAGCATGACGTACATTTCCAATGCTTAGGAGGCACAGGCAGAAGATTGCCCTAAGTCTGAGGCTACATATGAACTCTATGTCAACCATGGCTGTGCAACAGCCCCTGTCTCAAAAACAAACAAACAAACAAACAAACAGAAACCAACCACCACCACATACCCCAGGGAAATGGGTACAGCTCAGTGAACAGGGCCTAGTGCACTCAAAGTCCTATTCATCCACCTCCCAGCTCCAACCTAATAAAATAAAAGACAGACTGACTAAGTCACCTCTGCAACCAAAGTGAGTCCTTAACGCCTTAACAAAAAAACCTCTTAGTTAGGGGCTGGGAATGTGGTTCATTTGGCAGAGAACCTGCCTAGCACGCACAAAGCCCTCGATGTTTGATCTTCAGCATAAACCAGATGGTGTCATATGTCTGTAATCCTAAGGCTTGGGAGGTGGAGAGCGGAGGACCTGAAACTCAAGGCTATCCTCGGCAGCATCCATATCCACGGACATCTATATCCATCAGAGTGCTTTAAGTTCATGAAACAGGAGACATTAAGATAGACTCAAGAGTACCAAGAAGCACCGGCAAGCTGGCACACCTGGACCCTCACGGCTGGCCAGCAAAGTTGGAGCTCTCATAGCAGGCTGGCACACCTGGAACCCTCCCAGCAGGCCACACACCTGAAACCCTCACGCACCACTGGCAGGAACACATACTGAGGCAACTACTCTAAAGCGAGTTGGCCCTGTTCTCAGAAAATGTCCACCACCTACCCTGATGGCCCCAAGGCCACCCCAGTCCTACCTGCTGCCCATCTTGCAGTCCATGATAGAGGGGCCCTCAAAGTCGGCCAGGAGATCTTCCATTTGGTTGAAGGCCTGGCCGTCACGCTGCACCATGCCATAGTAAGCAGGCACGAAAGGCTGCAGGGGATCCTCCATCAGCAGCTCCAGGCTGCGCTGCTCACACTGACAGAAACGCTTCAGAATCCGACCATCCTCCCCAGCCTGGAAGTTCCCTGTCAGAAGCAAGACCAAGGAGAGGTTCGGAGACTGAGGCAGAGAAAGACCTGCCACACCCTCCTTCCCTGTATGCATCAGCCATCACCCTCTGGCTGTCAATGCAGTCGGGCCGCCCGGCCCCACACCCCCTTTCTGTCCTGGGGTATCTTTTGTGTTTGTTTTGAGATAGCTGGCCTTGACCTCATAAAGACCGGCCTGCCTCTGCCTGCCACCCATGGATGGGGCTAAAGTCCTGGGTTCCCACACCCAGTTCACACCCAGCTTTCCATGGGCCTAGTTATACTCTCTTTCATTTATACATGGTCCTGTTCATAGCACAGTATACCATTATTTATTTTGTAATTTTGAAAATATTTACCTTTATTTTATTTATACACTTGTGTGTGCGCGCGCGAGGTCACAGAGGCCAGAGGAAGGCATCAGATCCCCTAGAACTGGAGTTACAGGAAATCGAGAGCCACCTAATATGGATGCTGAGAACTTGCCTCGGGCCTTCTAGAAGAGCAATGCATGCTCTTAACCACTGAGCCGACACTACTTTGTAATTTTACAAAAATGTTGCTATTCTATGTGAACCTGCCTGTGGTGTGATTAAGAGAGTGACTGGCCCTTGGAGTCAGTTCTCTCCTTCAGCACTTACATGGGTTCCAGGGATTAAACTCAGTCATCAGGCTTGCACAGAAATGCCTCTACTCAATGAGCCATCTCACCGGCCCCGCTCTGTAATTTTAATGGGTGCTCTTGTCCTCTGAGGCAACTCTGGGAGATCTCAGTGGACAACACAACTTTCCACAACAGACCTGCATTTGATTGCCCAGGGGCCAGCCACTTGGGTCTACTTAAGTTAATTCATGCTAGAAACAGTGGCTTGAACCTATAATCCCAGAAATTAGGAGGTTTAGGCAGGAGGTTGCACACAAGTTTGAGCCCAGTCCAGGGCACACAGAGAATTCAAGGCTAACCTGGGCTATAGCAGCAAGACTCCAGGCTTAAAACAATGAATTAATTCTGGCATTATGTGGGGCATGTATATGGCTAAGGCAGAATCCCACATTTTTCCTTTTTGTCTTAGGGCAAGGAGATAGTTTTGTTTTGCTTTGTTGACATAAGGTCTTGCTATAAAACTGACACCCCAATTTGACACCCCCCCCCCCGCCTCAGCCTTCCAAGCTCTGGTATTATAAATGAGTGCCAAACTGAGCTGGCTGGTACAATCCTTAATCCCAGCATCCAGGAGGTAGAGATAGGAGTTTGGGCTCTCTGTGACTTTGAGGTCTGCCTGGCTACATAGAGTGTTCCAGGCCATTCAGAATACACAGACCCTGTCTCCAACAAACAAGCAAATAATAATAAAACAAATGTGTGTCACCATGACCAGCTTTTGGTTATAGTCTCCAGAGATGGCTGGAACAGTGTTCTTTGTTCTTCCTAAGATATTTGCTGTGTCACAAGAAGCAATGCAAAGGCCATGTGGTAAGCCCTGTTTTCCTCCCAACTGAGTCATGGCTTTGGTTTACTGAGGGCCTGCAATGCAAGAGACATGAGGAGAGCTCTGGCGCCAGTCTCTGTGTTTCCCATCAGCCTGCGCCCCACGCTTTCAATGTTCTGCCCTCAACTCTGTTAAGCCTGCAAGGGCAATAAGATTTGCTCTATATTCTGAGGAAAACTGAATCCCAGGTAGGGCAAGTTAAGCCTGTCTAGGGTCTCCCCTAAACAAGGAGCAGAAGCAGGAGCTGAAGCAATACCCATCCACTCCAACCAAACAACAAACTAGGCCTAGCTGGGCGTGGCAGCCTTGATCGCAGCACTCAGGAAGCAGGTGGATCTCTGAGTTCCAGGCCAGCCTGGTCAATAGAATGACTTCTAGGCCAACAAGAGCTACATAGACCCTATCTCAAAATAAATAAAATAAAATAATGACTAGGCCTAACTTCCTCAGAGCAGCCCACATGGTAGGGACTGTCACCAAGCCAGTTTTGAAGGCAAGTGAAGCTATAGAGAGCAGTTGTTTCCTAGCCTTCACACAGGCCGAGCCTGACTCTGTCCACATTCCTGAAATCTCACCAGCATGTCCGGAGAGCTGGACCCAGGGGTAGTAGTGCTTGCGGAAGGAGACCACGAAGGGCGAGTACTTCAGAACTGACTTCAGCTTCTTCCAGGGCTTGCTCTGTAGGGTAAGCATGAGGTACAGGTCAAAGCCAGGAATTACTGTCCTGGCAGCTCCCTGGGACGATGGTCCCCAAACTCATCAAGGTAATTGCGCCCTGCTTAGTCCAGGGATGATGACAGCACCTGGTGGGGAAGAGTCTGCCTCTCACTTTCTTTGCTGTCTCTGTGCCTTTGTCATAGGATAGGCTGAGTTTGCTTACTGTAGCAATCACCAAAACTCAGTAAACCTTAAGTCCACAGTCATAAAACACAGAGGCCAAGCCTCTCTGCCTCTAAGTAAGGTCTGACCTGGGGCAAACCATAGGAGAGAGAACAAAAGTGAGACCGGCAGAGAGCTGGTCACCAGGGGTTCCGCCTCACCCCCTCTTCGCACAGGTCCTTGTCCTCTTGAACTGAGGTTACTGACTTCTTGGGCCTGTGACTGTAGTGTCACTTCCAGGTGGAAGCTGAAGGCCAATTCAGACACTCCACGTTCAGTTCCCTGTGGAACTGAACAAGGCAACTGGGCAGGAGAATGGGCCTTGGTCCCTGCAGGAGGACAGCACAGAGCATGACCCCCCAACCGCAGCTATTTGTTGTGTAGTACGAACAGAAGTAAAGTTTTGCTGTTGCTCTAAGTCATTCGTATTTAGGGGCAATTTGTTACTAGAGCAGATCTTTGAATAACTTTTTGATTTACGTATATGAATGGAAGTTTTGTCTACATGTATGCATGTGAACCACACGCATGCCTGAGGCCCACGGAGAGCAGAAGGTGGCACTGGCTCCCCTGAAACTGGAGTTTATGGATGGCTGTGCACCACCACATGGGTGCTGGGAACTGAAACCATGTCCCCTGATCTCAACCCTGAGCCAGCTCTCCATCCCCACTGCACAGACCCTCATGCCCTCTGAGTGACGGGGAGACATGAAAAGAGAGCCTTGAAGAAATGCAGCTGGTTCAGCGCTCGGATGGGCAGTTCTTACAGAAACTCCAGTCACAGCAGTTTACAGCTGCCTATAACTCCTGCCCCAGAGGATCCGACAACCTTTCCTGGCCTCCAATGGGCACTCGACTCATGTGCAACACCCAACCCTATACACATATATACATCATTTTAAAAATACAATCTGTACGCCTATGATCCCAGCACTTGGGAGGCAGAGGCAGACAGATCTCTATGAGTTCCAGGCCATCGTGATCTACAAAGCGAGTCCAGGACAGCCAAGATTACACAGAGAAACCCTACCTTGAAAATAAATAAACAAAACAAACAAATAAATAAATAATCTTAATTAAATTAAAAAATATGGAAAGCCAGGCAAGCATGACTGTAATCCCCATACTTGGGGAGTTGAGGCCATTTTCAACTACACAGCAACATGTAGCATAGCCTGGGCTACATGACACCCTGTTTGTTTGTTTGTTTGTTTTGTTTTTTAAGTCAAGGTCTCACTATATAACTCTGGCTGTCCTGGAACTCACTATGCAGACCAGCTGCCCTCAAACTCACAGAGATCCACCTGCCTCTGCCTCCGGAGTGCTGGGATTAAAGGTGTGCACCACTACACCTGGCTGAGACCTGTTTCAAAATAACAAAATTCAGGGCCAGTAAGATGGCTCAGGGCATAAAAATGCTTGCTGCCAAACAGAAGACTTCAGTCCAATCACAAGGCCCCACGTATTGGAAGGAGAGAAGTCCCAGAAGCTTTCATCAGACCCAAACACAATGAATGTAATGAAAAAAAGACTACAGAACAGTAGAAAGAGGACAGATGGAAGAAAAGGGAAGGAGTGGGGGTATCGAGAGCGCAACAGAAAGCCAGAGAAGGGCTGGCAGCTCAGCAAAAGTGGGAGGAGCCAGAAGCACCGGCTGGGGACCTGATGCTCAAAAGGAGCCAAATACCAAGCCAGGTTTAATCAGTTGTATCCTGCTGCTTCGTGTCCGAGTCAGGCATGCGTGTGAGCCTGCACACACATACTCACCCCAGGCACACGCTGGCCCTCAGCATGAACTAGGAGAGTAGGTTTCACGCAGAGGAGGAAGCTGTGTGCTTTACCCGGCATTGCCCCCAGGGTCAAGGGCATGCTTTCTCCCAGCTCCCCAGCAGATAGCAAACTGGAGGGAGCCAGATGCTAGGCGGGCAGTCAGGGTGTTGGACAGCATGGGATCCAGGAAGGGCTATTTTCTCCCATGGGGAGGAGATGATTAATCAAGGTTCCTGTTTACTAAGCACCTGGAACATTCCAGGCACCATGACAAAGGCTCTGTGTGCCAAACCCTGTTTAATCCTAAAAACAGCCCGGGGAAGATGGCTGACTGTGTCACAAGGGAGGAAACAAACTCAGAGGTGAAGCCACTGGCCTAACATCACCAGCCACAGTGCTGGGTTTCTGGCTGACTCTGACCCCATTGCCTTGGGGCATTCCAGCTGCATTCCAGCTGCACTCAAGCTTATGGGGGGAGCGAGGCTTGCTGGGTTACAAGTGTGTCTCCAGCACCTGGTCTAACTCGCAGGCACTCCCAAAACACTGTAGGAATAAAGGTTACTTGACGCTGTCTTACATAAACATGTAGTCTCCAGTGTGTCTGTCTTCCTGTCTCTCTCTTGTTCAGCAGTACTGGAGATGGCACCCCAGACCTCCTGAATGCTAGACAAGCTCACTATAAGTGCTCTACCACTGAGCCATACCCAAGTTCCTCACTGAGATATTCTAGGCAGGTGCTCTTCCACTGAGCCACACCCCAGCCCCTCACTGGGGAATTCTAGGCAGGGGCTCTACCACTGAGCCACACCTCAGCCCCTCACTGGGGGATTCTAGGCAGGGGCTCTACCACTGAGCCACACCCCAGCCCCTCACTGGGGACTCTAGGCAGGGGCTCTACCATTGAGCCACACCCTGGCCCCTCACTGGGGAATTCTAGGCAGAGGCTTTACCATTGAGCCACACCCTGGCCCCTCACTGGGGACTTCTAAGCAGGGGCTCTTCCATGGAGCCACACCCCAGCCCCTCACTG